AACCGTAACGCAGATTCAGGTGGAATGCATCGAAAACCAGTTCAAATGTGCGAAGGAGAACCTGTGCATTCTCGCTTCCTGGCGCTGTGACGGAGACGAGGACTGTGCTGACGGGAGCGACGAGGCAGGCTGTCCGGTAAGAGAGAAAAAAAATTGAATAGGAAATGTGGAAAAGATGTGTAGATATATGTAGTTGGTTGGGTGGTATGATGGAAGAAAGGTAAGAAGGAATAAAAGAGAGATAGGTAGGTAGATGGGTAAATGCTGTGCGGTAAGAGGAGTTATGATAATAGGAATGTAAGAAAATGAAGGAGAATAGAATGTATAGATTTAACACACACACACACACACACACACACACACACACACACACACACACACACACACACACACACACACACACACACACACACACACGTAATAGGAAAATACGCAAAATAATAAATAAATAAATGTAGTAAGATGAGAAAAAAATATTAGAATATAAGCCAATAGTCTGCTAGATGATAAAAGATGATCGAAAATACGCAAAAAAAGTAAGAAAAATAAATAAATAAAAATAAATATATCTATAAGCACCCTGTACGGTAACACAAAATAATATAATATAGAGAAAAAAAGCCATTGGATAAATGAAGATAGCTGTATGATAAGATGAATTAAGATCATAAGTAATAAATACGAATAATGAAATAGGTAATATAAGTATAAAAAAAATAAAATAAACACAAAAATAAATCTATCGAACAGGGAGGTGCTGACGTAGGCTGTGATTGAAACTGATAAAGAAAACGAAAAAAAATAATAAGTAGAATAAATGAATAGATAACGGAAACAAATCATTAAATAAAGCAGGTTGTGCATCATTATAAAGCATTCAGGTTTGAGAAGCCAGTAGCAGAAAGTAATTAGATAAATAAATAAATCTGAACATATGAAATAATTGATAAGATATCAAGGCAAGGCAAGATATCAAGATCATGCATATGTAAATGGATGAATAGATATAAATGGACTAATAAACACCGCTTAATGGACACGCATTACCATTACATGGGGTCCCATTATTCGTCGCTTATGTGGACCAGAAAACCACAATGAGTAAAACCTACATGTTTCTTAAAGAGAAGCTTATGCAAAAGAGAATTACAAACGTCGGATGTTGTCATACACACACACACACACACACACACACACACACACACACACACACACACACACACACACACACACACACACACACACACACACACACACACACACACACGCACATACACACTCACTCACCCACTCACTCACTCACACACACACACACACACACACACACACACACACACACACACACACACACTCACTCACTCACTCACTCACACACACACACACACACACACACACACACACACTCACACACATATACATAACACACGCGTTCGGAGGGATGACCGCTGTCTTCGACCACCGACTCTTCTCTCGTGTGACGGGAACCGGGGTCGGGCTTTGCATAGGTAGATATCATCACCATTTACATCATCTATCTCATCTTTATTTTCAGGATGGGACTATTTTTTTTTTTACATTACCCATCTCATCTTTATTGTTAGTCATGTTTCTTGTGAGTCAATTAGAAATGGTTGACGTGGATGGGTGTGGATCGCCATGTATTTGTGTTCGATATGATATCGCATTTATAAAGAGAATGAAGGGTAGTCTGTTTCATTATAAATTTCTTTGCTTAGAATTTTTTTTAACAAACCGGGATACAGTTTCCGGTTTGGCCAAGTAAACATTTTCCAAGAGCCATTTATGTATATACCCTTCCTGATAAACGGATTATATCAACAAATCATTCATAGTATGTTTATTTTCTTTTGAAACTCCACGAAGACATTGCTCAAAGCTTTATCATCAAATATTTCTACATTTTTGAACAATTCATTGAATATTAAACATGGCGGCCTAGCATCATCAACTTCAGGGTTAGCGGCTTCCACTACTCTTTATTATTTCCTTCTTTTTTTATATAGTGTCTGCACAAATTGTCGAGGTTAATATCCATTACTGAATAAGGGATGTAATTCACCATACATACAACAGCGTACTGGTGCACCTTTGTCTTCTATTGTTTGGTGTTTCTCTACGATAGTTGAGGGTAAAGAGAACTAAAATAAGTTCATTGAAGATCAGCTCTGACGAAAATGATCCTCTGCCCCACACGCCAGATTCCGCCAAAGGGAGTATCACTGCCAAACATGTGACTACAGAGGCAAACTAAATTATTGTACTCTACAAATCATACAGGGATTCTCATGCTTTCACATAGGCAATATGCTACACAGCAATATAAACTAAACATGATATACATTTCACATAGCATATCACACAAAGAGAAGTGTATATAATAGAATCACATAACTATCACAATACACGTACGGTAATACTGTCATCACAACCGGTATGTAATGGCACACGACATGGCTCACTATCACAACTCTCTTTATTA